CCCACAACTTTCCTCAAGGCTGAGGATGGCTTGCAAAAAGCAGGACACAGACCCCTGATTTTTCTCCCTTTCTCCAAGGCTGATGATGGCTTGCAAAAAAGAGGAATTGCCCTGTCTTCACTGTGTTGCCGCATGTGTCATGATGATGCGTAGATGATTGACATGCATTTTGAAGGGGCGCAAACTAGTGGGAACAACAATTGTGCCAAAAAAGAAGTGATTACAAGGGAATAATGAAAAGATCCGCTTTCATAGTGGGAACGACAGACCTTTTGGAACCATAGTGGTAACAACTGACACGGAGCGAAGGCAAATTGCAAACCGGTTTAAATGTAAGTGAGAATGAGGCCTGGGTGACCTTGGGCAACTCATACTCAGCCTTAGAAGATGGCAATGGCAAACACCCTCTGCAGAAACTTGCCAAGAAAACCTGCCTTAGTTTGTCATAAGTAAAAAAATGACTTGGAGGCACAAAACAACAACAAATATCTCTCATGAAAGAAGGGGGGCAGGGAGTCATAATATGGAGAAATATGTTCAAAAACATTGTTATATCCGTTCAGCCAGTTTTGCACTTTTGAATTTTCTCAATAATTAAACTCCACAACTATTAAATTCTGTCTTGATCTGGAAAAAAAAAAGAATCCTTGTGATTTCATTGGTATTATAGAACTGATCTTGGCAACCAACCTGTTCTTTTATGAGTGCAAATAATTCATCATTTCTATTCACTCAGTGATACCATTGCCTCTCAATCACTTGATGATGATTGGGGAGGGAAGTGTTAAAGTGTAGGGGTCCAAGAAGACTAGAAAACTGAGGAAGGAAGTGCAGGAAATAACATACACAGAAAATGTTTACTGGCATGATTAAAATGTTCTGACAGTGAAGCTGGTGACTACATAAGGGGCATAGTTTAAAAGGAATGGTCAGCTTTTTTTTAACTGAAAAGAAATTGTATAGAAGTACTGTAACGGCAAATTTCATGCTTCATCCCTTGAAATACAGTATCAAGTTCTGTGTCAGACTTCTAACTTCTTGCTTATCCTGTGTGTGGCCTTCTAGTAATTAACCTGAGGGGCTACTTTCCTTTTCTAATTTGTAGGAAGTGGTTCATGACATCTGTTTGGGCCCTGGGGCTAATTCTTGAAAACCTTTAGCTGTTTGTTTCTTTCTTTCTTTCAAAGCAGGAGGACTATAAAGATGTATAACAACTGGCAGACTTGATTCATAGCTCTAGGGGAAAAATCCTTTCAGATTATAAAGAAACTACTAAAAATACATACTGAAAGCTTGTATTAGAATGAAGCAAACAGAGGGGTGAATGCATATATTTCTTAGAGACTTTGTGAATATAAACACTAGAGAAAAAGGCCACGTGAGTCTCCCTGAGAGCCTGAAATGCAGAACTTGAAACTGTTCCAAGTGTAGTTGGCTGTTTGCTAGGTCCAAGATCCAGTATACTTTTAGCATAGTATAAATGTACAGCAGTATAGATAACACTAGATCTCACAGCTGCATAGTTAGTTGTACAGTGGGCACCACACTCTTGACCTTACCTATTGTGTAATGTCCACCCACCAAGTCAAAAGTGGGGAAAGAAACCTGTGTGTACTTGTGGACAGACTGGCTGCAATAGGGCCGACCTTCAGTAACCTCTGAGAAAGTGCAACTTGCAATTTTTATGCTAGTGTGGTACTCTCAACATCCTGGCTGAGGAGTTCAGTAAAATCTGCCCAGGATCTCTAATGATGTCCTGCAAAGTGTTGTGCAGGGGGATGTCCTTTTTCTCTTTCTCTCTCTCTCCCTATATTCAAATTCATTTTATTTTGAACCTCCTAGTTTTAAAAACAGTGGAGTAACAAACCTTTTAGAGAGGCTGTGAAATTTTCTTTAGTGCTTTTCAATAAAAGTGTGACAGATTGCAACTCACATTGGGGAATGGGGTGCATAAAAGGAAAGAGGGCAATCTGCAATCTTCTACACCAAATGTGCACTTGTCACTGTCCACATTTCCGCACTACTCTCTTATAGTGCTGCTGTTCCACTATTACTGCTCTGGCTGCCTCCTGTTGCATTCTGGGATTTGTAGTTCAGTGAGGCCTAAGAGCTCTCTGGCTGAGAATTCTAAATGCCCCTCTTCAAACTGCAAATCCCAGAATGCTACAGACGGCAGCCAGAGCACTAATAGTGGAATAGCAGCACTATAAGAGTGTAGTGCAGAAATATGGTCAGTGTGTTTATGTGTATTTTCTCCCACTCAGAGGGTTGCCAGAATGGAAACTGGAGAAGGCTCTTGTACCCTTATTAGTTATGTAGAAGAGGGAATTTCACCAGCTGTTGCTTGTCATGCAACCAGGTAATGAACATCTGCAAAACTCCCCTTTTCTACAGAACTATTAAAGATACAGGAGCTGTCTCCAAGTTGTCATTCTGGCAGCTTCATTTGCCAGGCTATCCAGGTGCTGGTTGTATCTGTTTAAATACTGAAAAGCCAAGCCAGAATAGTACACATTTCTTCTGTTACAATGAGTATAATTCTGTGAATGTTTACTTACATATGCACCACGGCATTCAGTTAGACCTACTCTCAAGTAAGTGTGCATAGAATTGCTGCTTTAGCCATTGCCTCTATTGTTGTGTGCCTTCAAGTCACTTCTGTCTTATGACTACCATAAGGCAACACTATTTTCTTGGCAAGATTTGTTCAGAGGTGGTTTGACTCTGCCTTCCTCTAAGGCTGAGAGAATATGACTTGCCTGAGGTCACCCAGTGGGTTTCCATAACCAAGAAGGAATTTATACCTTGGTTTCCAGAGTCATAGCCCAGTGTTCAAAGCACTATACTGTGCTGGCTCCATTGTCTCTGTGTGTGTTTTGTGTGCCTCCAAGTCATTTCCAACTTACGGCAACCCTAAAGTGAACCTACCATAGCGTTTTCTTGGCAAGAGTTGTTCAGAGGTGGTTTGGATGCCCCTGAGGCCGAGAGAGTGTGATTTGTCCATGGTCACCCAGTGGGAATTGAAGCCTGGTCTCCAGAGTTATAATCCATCACTCAAACCACTACACCATGCTGGCTCTATTGGCTCTGTACATATTTAAAAATCTATCCAGCCTTTCTTCTGCAGTCATAAGTTTAAAGCAGGAGCGAGAATGTGACCCTGCAGATGCTTTTAGATTGCAGTTCTCAGTCTTCTTAACCATTTCCTATGCTGCTCAGGACTGCTAGGAGTTGTAGACCAACAACGAGAGGACTGCATCACTTATACCTGTGTTTAGGTGCAGATGTAAAGCTCTGCAGATTGAGGGTATCCTTATTGACAGTAAGGTTTGGCAATGGAAGCAATTGCCTAGAAAGGTGGTGGGATCTCCTTTTCTAGAGCTCCCAAACTTTGAGCATATGCTTTACGAGTGATATACGTAATATCTGGAGAAGTTGTAGAATCTTTTTCTTTTCCTCAAGTCTATGCAAAAGACATTTTCATTGATTTAAATAATGGTTGGCTTAAATGTGCATGAGATTTCTTTACCAGTTTCTAACTGGCATTAGTAATGTTCTCAAGTGTCATAGATCACACAAAAAAGGCAAATGCAGGTATTTAAACCTCATGAGTGGAAGCCATCTTTTCATCTGATTTGGAGTATCTAATATAATTTAGATGGCCAAGAAATCATCTTTCTAAAAGATGTCCCTAGCAACACTATAAAATTTAAAATTTTTAAAAGGGAATTTTGTCTACTGAATTCAGTGTTGAAAAGAAAGCATTGAACCATATTAAAAAAATATTTCCTGAAATTCTCCAACTTCCTTAAAATTTATATTCCACTTTTCTATAATTGTTATTGTTGTGTGCCTTCATGGTATTTCTGACTTATGGCAATCCTAAGGTGAATGTATCACAGGGTTTTCTGCTGCTGAATGTGTGTGATTTGCCCAAGGTTATTGAGTAGCTGAGTCGGGAACTAAACCCTGATCTCCAGAGTCATCGCCCAATGCGTAAACCACTATTCCAGTGATGGCGAACCTTTTAGGGTCCGAGAGCCTAAACCAGGGGTAGGCAACCTTTCCCCTTTAAGGGCCGAGGGACTTCAGCTCCCAGAAGCCTCAGCCATGTTGGCCAATGGTCCCATGTTGGCCAATAGCTCCTGGGATTCTGGGAGCTGAAGTCCCTCGGCCCTTAAAGGGAAAAGGTTGCCTACCCCTGGCCTAAACTAAAAGGCCTTTCGTCACCAGGTGTTGCCCTTCCAGGGGTGGGACCTCTGGGGTGGGACTTCTTTCCCCCCACCCTCCTGGGCCTACAGCAACCTCTCCAGAGACAGCTGATGGCCCAGGGGGTGAGGGGGAAGAAGAGGAAGAGGTGCACACCTATTCCCCCTCCTCCTACTTGTCCAGAAGCAGCTGAAGGCTGGGGAGGGTCTGGAAGGGGGAGGAACAGGCACATGCCTCTTCCTCCTCCTCCTTCCTCCGTATCATCCCCGGCCTTCAGCTGCTTCCAGACAAGCAGCTGAACACCTGGGACAGCTGGGAAGGAGGACACATGCCTCT